ACAAAAACTATCACATATAACTATACGTGGTATAAATAGTTTGGTGGCAGCAGCTCTAAGTTCGAACTGGTTTGACCTCAAGTCAAGCATTTATCACAGCTCTAAACCACCTGGGCTTGATTGTTATTTCCCATCGTTTTATGAATAAATATATTTATCTGAGTTTACTAAATCTATAGCTGCAAAACAAATTCATTTACATTCTTATTCTCAAAGTCTTCCGTCTTGCAGATCTGAGACCCACGTAAAAGGCGGGAAACGTTACCTCGCTTCCTTTGAGAAACAACAAAACATTCTTGAATGTCAAACTCTGTGTCTTCACTCACTGCAGGTTTTTTTAAGAGTTCCTGGCTGATGAATTTGCACCAAAGGGTCCTCTGTCCGGCTGGCCCGGCAGCAGGACTGCGCTGGGATGGAGACCAAGCAAACAGCTGCTGGCTGTTTGCAGACTGTCAGAGCAGCGGTCGGGCAACAGCGCCCCCCGGCGGCCCCTGGACCAACACGAAACTTGTGCATCAGGAGACCGGGTGTGAGACCGCAGGGCAGGATGCTCAGGTGGGCTCCAGGGCAGCAAACGATCGCTCAGCTTCTACCATTGCTAAGGTGTTGTGGGCTGGGGTGGGGGAAGGATTCACAGGGAGGTGGAACCCAGCACTTCCATCTCTCAAGAAACCTTCAGTTAGGTTGGGGACAAGGCCATGGACCGAAACGTCGAGTGCGGGGCATGGGGACGTGCAGGAGTTGGTGCTGGATTTGGGGAACGGGGCAGCCCCTCTTCCCATTCGACCACCCCGGACGCCGCGGCTCTTGTGCAGATGCTCCTGGACACACAGCGGTGCTTCGTGGGCCTCTGTCCTCCTCCTGCCTCACCAACATCTCCGCCGGGGGACCCAGGCAACGCCTCCAACTCGGTCTGCGGTGCTCACCTGCGGGTGTGCTTCTGGATAAAAAGAATCTGTCCACGCCGCAGCAGTCACTCCCAGCAGGGAACAAGTGGTAAATAAGGGGTGTTTCATTGCCATTTCTTTCACGCAGATGTTCAGAGAACTTTCTCTCGGAGTAGGAGTGTCAAGCGACAGGGAAAAACATGTGAAATCCTAAACGGGCTCCTCCGGAAGGCGAGTGACCACCCTCACGCATCCCGAGACCTTCTCTCCAGTACTCACCTCGCGATCGCACGTAGCAGTCGTTACAGTTCAGAAGGCCATTTCGAATCCTGACGTCCGTCCCGCTCACGGCGTCTCCAAGCTGCCCTTTACAAATTCCACACTGCGGGGTGAACAGAGCAGACGTTAAAAGATGAGGAATTGTTTCCTTATAACGTGTCGTTGCTGTTTATGTGAATAACACACAATCACTTCCATGCTCTCCACACTCGCGGAGTGTCTAGCACGTGTCATACGCTGCACCGTTGTCAGCGTGAAGTGAAAGCGGACCTCCTTTCAGCATTTGCCTCCATTCCTGGCATCTTAAAGAGAAGGGCACTGGTTCAGAGAGGTTAGTTGACTTGT